CTGATGCTCATGATGCGTGTTGCCCATGGTTTCTGGGTTGAGAACTCTGGCAGCTGACGCTCATGCTGCGTTTTGCCTTGTTTGTCTGATTTTGAGGAGTTGACGCAGCTTTAAACTTTCAAGTTGAAGAGCCTGCAACTCCAAACTCACTCTTTAAGATGCCCTGGACCACCAAAAAAGACGTCTCAAGCCTCCAAGCTCTAAACGCTCAAAGCTAAGCCGTAAGCTCTGAATGCCCAAAGCCCCAAAGCCTAAACTCCCACCGCCGACAAACCCTATATCTGCTACATAGGTTCAACAATTCGTAGTACCGTTGAATAAAGTGCCCGCACAAACAGTTGCACTGTAGCAACCCTTCAAGGAACCCTTTAAAGAAGCTTGAAGCCCAGCACCCTTACACCAATAAACGCCTACACAGCCTTGTAAAACGCATTCTATTTTAAATTCATTCTAAGATAATTCAGAAACTTGTACAAACAACTTTGGTTCAACTTCCCATAATAACCCATACTATTTCGGGGGCTCTTTGTTGTAATTATGGTCTAATACCAAGTCCGTTCCTTTTTCCCTAAACCCTAAACCCTAAACCCTAAACCCTAAACCCTGCTTCCAGGCCCTGGCGGAGCAGTGTCCGAAGGCCGGGCCGTTGGCGGCGCTGGCGATCAAGCGCGCCATGGAGGCCTTCGGGGCTGGGCTGTTTTGGGGTTTAGGGTTTAGGGTTTAGGGTTTAGGGTTTAGGGTTTAGGGTTTAGGGTTTAGGATTTAGGGTTTAGGGTTTAGGCCTTTGGGCCTGGGCTGTTTTGGGGCTTTTACATGGTCATTATATAAAGCGCTAGAGGGGTTTGTAGAGGAGGTTTACAGGTGCTTGTATTTCATAGGGTTTTGGTCTAGTTTCATTTCGTCGAGAGGGTTGAAGAATTTTGTTCTTCCGAAAAGATATCAGAATAATGGTGGGTTAAGGGTATCGGAATAATGGTGGGTTGTCGTAAGCATAGACCATCGTTACTAAAATCATAGTAAGAACATTATCAATATCATTGATAGGCGTAACAATTATAACAGCGAGACCAACAACAAGAATGAGTTTAATAAATCAGCATCAGCAGCATCGTCATCGTCATTCTCACCAGCCTCCTCTTCCTCACTGTCACCATTGTAGCAGTCGTCGTCCTCGCCGTCGTCATGTTTGTGAGTTGTAACATGTTCTTGCTTCCTACTTCGGTTACTGTTGTTGCTATTAGTGGCCGGCTGAGGGATTGCTAGCATCATCGTCCTTTTGCTGGCGCTGTTGTTGCCATTGTTATCGTTATAGTCTATGGTTCTTGAAAGGTTGCACATGTAATTGGTGCGCTCTCGGCACAAGTACGGAGATTGTATCATAAGTCATATTTTTATAGGGTCTGTGCATCCGGCAATCCCTAAACCGCAACCAAATCAGCACCAGGCGTGGAAGTCGACAAACCTTCAGCACCCAGCCGCGGCAGCAAGACCTTTCTTGAGTAGCTCCTGCATAGTTATCATATGCCCGAAGGACCGTAACTACTTCTGCAAAGTCTGTTGGCGGCCTTTGATGCAGGTTGGGGGTATTTCTGCCCATTAGAATGCAAGAGAAGCTGACCCAAGACATGCCCCAACGCCCAAAACACGCGAGACTCCATGACCCTGAACAGGATCCGGATGTCTATGTGCAGTGGCACGCCTTCGAGACCTTCAATGCGCTTCCGAAGCCCCTTCAGGCCAATCCCCCGTCACAGGTTTCGGGGATTGATCATCGTAGCGATATCAAACCCCGCAACATACTCTGATTGGGTCCTTATCGTTTAGAAGTCGGTGCAGAGGCAATGCTCAAGCGTAGTTGGATGGTGTAGCTTCGGGTTGGGCTCTCGGGCCGGTGTTAGTCTCGGATTTAAGGTTTATGCATTTGGGTTGTTGACGCCAAACTTTGCTTTAAGTCCTCAGAAAGATTGACCAAAGCTTCGAATAGGTCCCATAAGCAGAAGCAAAATCAACCTGCAACCTTACACCCCCAACCCGGAGCTTTGAAAACCGAAAGCTCAAACATCTCCCTACTGCAAAACCCCCATGCCACGATCCTGAACCCGCACTTCTAATTATGAGCAAGACCCACGTGTATGTGTGGAGACCCAAAGACAACCTGAGAGCTCGAACCCCTGGCGTTTCGGGGCTTTAAGGTTTAAGGGTTTCGCGTTTCCAGTTCAGGGTTCTACGGTTCAGGGTCGCGGTGTTGAGCTTCAGGGTACGAGAAAGACAGATCTTTAGTCCCGCACCTTGAGTTTTGGGTAGAAGAGCCGTCCACCTCATGCCACACAGAGGGCTAAGAGGCACTGAATTGAGTAATTTTCTTGAAATCATAGCAAGAGTCCCAGATACTCGTACTTCAAGGAACAATCCTTATTCGAACACAAAATGACGTTAAACCCTAAACTCGGGAAAAATTAAACCCTAAACCTGCACCCTAGACCCTAAACCCAAACATAAACCCCTAACAGCAAAGAACACTAAACCTGAACCCTAGGTCCTAAACCCTAAACCCTAAATCCCTAAAAGCAAAGAGCACTAAACCTGAACCCTAGGTCCTAAACCCTAAACCCTAAATCCTTAAAAGCAAAGAATACAGAACCTGAAAGCTCCCTGGCCGCCAGGAACGCGCCGAGGATGCCGGCCTAGCGGAGCAGCTGCATTCGCTGGTCCTGAAGGACAAGGGGAGTTTCCGAAAAGAGAGGGTTTAGGGTTTAGGGTTTAGGGTTTAGGGTTTAGGGTTCAGGGTTTAGGGTTTAGGGTTCAGGGTTTAGGGTTTAGGGTTTAGGGTTTAGGGTTTAGGGTTTGGGTAGCTTATATTGGGGTCCTTATAATAAGGCTCCTACTATTTAGGGTACTAAATTAGGGTCCCCTATTTTGGGAAACTCCCACATAGCTTCTCCTGGGCATACCTTGGGAGTCATTTTTCGTTTTGTATGATCCCTAAACCCTAAACCCTAAACCCCAAACCCTAAACCCTAAACCCCAAACCCTAAACCCCAAACCCTAAACCCTAAACCCCAAACCCTAAACCCTAAATGCCAATGCCAGGGGGTTCTAAGCATGGGATTTGTGATTGTCGACTTGTCGTCGTTGAGCTTGTAGTCCTGAGCTGATGTATTGTGTCTCGCTTTTGCTTTGTCGTGGTTTGACACGGGTGTTGAGAGCTTGTGGCATAAATTGGGTACAGTAGACTGTCTTGATTACAGTAATGGTTGCAACAAGGATCCGAATGTTGAGCCCCTTCAGAAGGAGCGTTTATGAATCAAGCATGTGCTCTTACGCGACAAATTCAACCCCACCCCGAAAGCCAAAGCTGATCGAAAGGCGCTGTCAACAGCGAAACTCGAAATCAGTTCCTGAATCATTCTACCGAGCTAGGGCAAATTTGTTCCTTTCTTTGAGGGCAGTTTTCATCAAAAAAAGACAGAACCGAACCAATGGGAGGGCGCTCTGTTTTGGCCGAACCAATGGGAGGAAACAGAGTTCACCCAAAAAAACGCCTCCCTAGCTGAACCTGATGGCCTTGGTGCGGCAGATTTCCAAACTGCCATGCTCAAGTCCTCCGAAGATGGCGGAATGTTCTCAGAAGACAGCGTTGGCTCGATCGAGCCGGGTTTGCAGTTCCGAGGCTGCTGTGTAACAAGGGTGCCTCCCCAGATTCGCTCGCCTTGAATGTAAGCTGCGAATCAGGACGCCGAGCGGCAGCGTCAGAGCAAGAAGGCACGCGCGAGCCACTCGGCTTCTCAGTTGCTCGTTGGGCGTGGGATTTCAGCATGTTGGCTGGAAGCTGATTGGTGCTTGGTCTGCAAGTAGTAGGGTATTGACTTCAGGGCGTGGCAGTTGCATCGTCTCGAGCCCTGCGAGAGTGTCTCCCGTCCGATATTGTGCTAGACGTTAGATTGCTGGCAAAGACTACGGAAGCCGTGGATTACAATTCGAGTGGCGTACTGCACTCTGGACCCAGCACCTCGGGGCCTTGAGCCCCAAGCCCGAAGCTCTCGATCCGAAGTGGTGGAGCTTTATGGAGCAGCCCGCAACATTTCCTAAACCCTAAACCCCGTAAAACCTGGACCCTGAACACCATGAAAGCCCCGAAGCCTCGAGCTTTGGCTTCCAGGGCTGCCTTTCATGCGCTGGGAGCCTGTGCCTTGATCGCAAAGACTCTTGGGAGCTGCAAGGCTTGATATTATTAGCTTGTATACAGGGTTGGCGCGCAATTTTGCTGCAGAAGGAACCCTTAATCAAGGGAACCTTGGGGATGGATCTCCGCGTCCTCTCAGGGCACTGCCGAGTTGGAGGAGTTCGCCGCCGAGAAGGCGCAGCAGGCGGCCGAGGCGGGGCTCGCTGAGGCTTTCCACCTCTCGGGCAGACCCGGGAACGACCCAGAGAACCCAGTACCCCTTATTAAGGAATATAATTATGCCTTAAACTATAGGGACCTTAACATTACGATTTAAGGTATATTCCTTAATTAAGGGGTATTGGGTTCTCTTGGGAAGCACTTGGGTTTGGGGTGTTACGGGTTAAGGGTTTAGGGGTTGTGTGCTTTTGGGGTCTGGGGTTGTAGGTTTTGTGGTTCAGTCAAGGTCGTACTTAGATGCTCAGGGGACTTTGTGTAGGTTCTAGAGGAGGTTATGCGTACTCTAGCCGGAGTTGTGGTGCTCGAAGATTAATCCTAAACCGTACACTGACCCTTCTGAAAGCCAGTTTTCAAAGCCCTCGAAGCCTACAAGAATGCTGTTTTAGGAGTCAATCGGATGTTTCAGTTTTTTGGGTTCGGATGTTTTGTTGGGTATTCTAAGAGAAATGTGGTGTTTCTGTCTAGCCTTCTTTGTCTAGGTTTCGGTCTTCAGAGTCAGCACACCAAGCCCTTGCTCGTTTCACTACACTTTTTGCAGGCCAATTTTTGTATTCTCGCAGGAGCCGTATGCGCCAAGTAGCCCAAAATGCTGCATGTTGATTTTCCTCAACCTCTAGTAATTCATACATCCCTCAAGATGCACGTCGTACACCTGAAAACAGTAGACTCGCAGCCTTAAATTAAATCCAAAACTTTATGCTCCAGACCCAAAGCCCTGCAAATCCTAACCGCCCTGCACCACCACATCCATGCCTCAGCGAATTCTCACCCGAAAGCCTGCACCCCAATGCCCAAACCCTTGCGGAAGCCCCAACCCCTAACCCTAAAAGCCCCATAACCCCACAGCCCCAAACCCGGAACCCGGGATGCCAAAACCCCGAAACCCCCAAACTCTCAAACCCCAACATCCGAACACCTCAAACCTCTAAAGCCCTAAACCCCTAAAGCCCTAAACCCTAAACCTCTGAAACGCCCCCGCTGAACCGTTTCGGTCTTCCAGCTGCAAGGCCGCAGAGGCCGAGGCCATGGCCCGGGCCGAGGCGAAAAGTTCTTTGCTCCAGGTTTTCGGGTTTTCAGGGACCCTTTTTTGGGGTTTTTGGGTTTCGGTTTTTGGGTTTAGGGTTTTGGGGTTTAGGGTTTAGGATTTGAAGGAGATATATGGGGGTTCACAGAGGGCGTATAGGCGTCTTGGTACAAGGACAGCGCACAAAACGAACGAACAAAAGCTGCGCAGCACTTTGGAGGGCTCAAGGCATTATTCTTCAACTCGAGGTGTTGAGGTGTTGGTCACCCCTAAGCGCCTTGAGCCATTGAGATATCGTTAGGATCCTCGATCCCCGGCACAAATCCTGAAGTCTGGGCGACCTTGTTCCCAAAATTCTGAAGTGTGGGAAGCCTTGTTCTGAACCCCGAACCTCCCAGCATCGTCCACCTGAAGCGTCGTTTGAAGGAAGAGGCGGTGCGAGCCATCAAAGCAGCCGAAGAGGAGGCATCCGTAGATGCCGTAGACCGTTTAGGGCTTGGGGTTTAGGGTTTAGGGTTTTAGGGTTTAGGGTTTAGGGGTTTAGGGGTTTAGGGTTCAGGGTCTTGACAAGGAATCAAGCGGGACTCGACGGTTTTAAAGATGCTGACCTCTGATTAGAATTTCCCCCTTTCACCTAGTTTTAAGATCCGGAATCTATGCTAATGCAAAAGTGCAGTTGAGTTGAGAATCCAGAGGCTGGCATTACGCTTCAGAGTTTTGACTTGAGGACGTAATGGGGGGGGTGCGAGAATGACGAATTTGGAATCTGGTTTTGTGTGGCTGGATTCTGGGGTCGAGAAACTTTGTGAATTATGCTCACAAAGCATCCCCGCAGTTTTAGCGATACATGATTCGTGTAGTCCTCATTGAGGACCGTATGCCTGAAACCGGTGCTTTCTTGCAGGGTGGAAGACCCTAGACTCAACCACACACGAGATCATCAGCCAGGGGCATTGCTGATGAACCGGCTGCCCCGAGACCCCATACTTTAAACCCAAGGCTCTGATTTTTGAATCGTACCTTCTGTGCATGCTATTCTGGCATCTGTCCCATGAGCAGGCCAGGCTCATGGAAGCCATGGGCAAGGCTGCCGCCGCCCTACAGGACGGAGGGGTGTGCGACGTGAATGATAGAACTGACAGGAACTGTTTGTGCACGGAGTTGTCAGTCGAAGTTCATTTATTTGGTGGCTTGTTCGTTGTGAACCTAGTTCCCTGCTCACATAGGCGTTTCAATATCACATGCCATGCCTATGGCCTATGCCCTCCATAAATAATTTCAATTGCAAATGAGACAGAGGTCCTGGAGTGTGAATTATGGCTTGAAGCGGTTTGTCACAGCACGTAGGAATCTGCGAGGCCTCTTGTTTTCACCGGATTATTCTCGTTGGAAGACTTCTCTGTTCGGTCTTCCGGAACCTGCCCGGCCACAGCCACCTGCTTCACTTTCCTGCTCAAGCTTTCCAGAGATGTGAGTGAGCACAGAGTGGCCCGGGCAGCTCATCCTACTTCGTGCTGAGAGCAAATGCTGAAGCCAAAATGTCGCACTTTGTTATCTGGGCTTCCGCTTGCATCGTGGTGGGGCCTCTGCTCGGTGCAGGTCGGGCTTCTGAAGGCCCCTGCACATCCCAACCAGGAAGCTACAGCCCGGGCCGAGGCTGTAAAGTATCGCGGCGTGAGTTATGACAAGCGACATCGTGTCTTTAAAGCACGGTTGCAGGTTCGTGGCGGACCAGGCTACATCGGCAACTTTAAGACCGCCACGCACGCCGCCGAAGCACAGGATCAAGAGGTGAGACGCATGTACCAAGATGACACTCCAGATCACAATTTCCGGCGCAAGAACTTACTGAACTTTCCGTCGGAGGAGGAAGCTGCCTACCATGAAACACAAGAGCAGGCACGCAAGCGCGGTCTGGAAGTACATGGAGACGATTGCAGGAAGGAGGCCAGATCCTTCGAGCTGTTGAACGAGGCCTTGGAGGCATCGGTTTATTCAGAAGAGTACGAGCTCGTGCTCTTGACGGGGTCTTCCAAAGCAGATGCTCTGTTGAAGCTGCGTGGCTCGTCACCAGCTGGTTTGCCAATTCAGATCAAGGCAGCAACAAGTCGGTGGAAGCAAGGAAGGGTTTACCAGTTTGGCAAGTGTCTGGGATACGAAGGCATGCTGGTCGTGTTTGTCGCATTGGATGGAGGCCACTTCTGGGCGGCCGCCGGCGAGGAACTGAAGGCTGAAAAAATAGGCATAACCATCGGATGCGAAAGTGACATTGATCGAAAGGTGGAAAACATGGGGTCACAGTTGGTTGCCTGCTTCAAAGATACGCGACAGTTTCCCCACATGCCAGTTGAAGAGGCAGAGCACCAGTGCTCCCCTGTTCATCGGGTTGAGGCAGCTGCGCATCGGCAGCTCAGAAATTTGTTTGATTGCATGAATTGGAGCCTGTCCTGTCCTCATGAACATGGGACCACGATCGACTCCCTTCTGGAGGTTGGCATCGGGGACCGGGTGGTGCGCTTGCAAGAGAAGGCGTCTCGCTTCCATAGGAGAATGTGCAGGTATAAAGTACATCTGTGGAAAAGCGGAGGTTCGCGCCTGCGGGCTGCGTACGCGGAGGACGATTTTGACTTGTTGGTCGCCTGTGTTTTGGATCAGGCCGAGTTTGTGCAGGGCGTCTTCTTGGTTCCCACGTCCCAATTGGTGCAGGAAGGCTTTGTGGCGAACGGGCCCCGCACTTTGGTATTGCACCCACCATGGTCTCCACCAAAGCGCAACAGCACCAAAGAGAAACACTCTTGGCAGCTTGACTGGTTCCTCGACCTCCGTGCCTGGCAGGGCTCCACGGAGCTGCCGGATGAGCTCAAGAGGTGCATGCATCAGCTAATTTCAACGGCGCTCGACGGCTTGGTCGCGAAAAGGAATGTCGAAGCATTGTCCTCGTCGCGGCAGAATTTCGGATTTGGATTCGGACTTCCAGGTCTGAGTTTTTCTCTGATTTGGCATGACTTGACCCTCATAACTTGGCATCCGACATGCCTCCCTTGAGTTGCTATCCGAAGGAAGCCGAGCTATCATGTCTCGCAGCTTCAAGCTTCGCCCGACATCTTGCTATATTTCAAGTTTCTTCAAGCCCATCGCCTGTTACTCCAAACCAACGCCCCACCAGTGACCTTTGGAGTCTCAAAAAAGAACTCTCAACCCCACGACTTTGATCTCTCGTGCAGGAGAGGGCCCGGCAGCTGCTGCCGGGGGTGGTCCAGCGCGGGGTTGCTGGAGTCCCGTGGCGATGTTTGTTCTGAATTTTAAAGAAGAGAGTGGGAAGTGGGCTTGAAGGTTTGAGGTTTTGGGGATTCTCAGGCCTTCGCCACAGGGGTGGAACCTCCCCTGTACGAAGAAGCATCAACCACAGCAACCGCATCCATGGCTTGACGGAAGAGGAGTCCTAGAATTGCCTTCAGCTGGGGTTTTGATTACAGGCAGTAGTAGAAGACTTAGAGACCACGAAGTAGAAGGACGAGGAAAGGGAATCAGAGCAAACAGTGCCATTGGACACAACCATACTGCATCATCAGGATAACAGCCCATCATCACCATTCATCACCTGCGCAGCTTTAAAACCAAGACAATTTTAGCATCGATTCTCATAGCCCACTGGCCACCGACCAGCTGAGGCGGAGGGTGATGACCAGGCGCAAGCGGAGTGTTAGCCCTTTGTGGGCTCTCGTGCCCTAAGGGCTAAGGGTTGAGGGTAGGATGGAAAGCCTTCTGAAACCGGAAAGCCTCGAATCCCAGAGCCTGATCAAAGGCTAAGTCCCACGCCCCCAAGATCGGGGTACCTTAAACCAGGTGGATTTCGAGATGTCTTCCTGGACGGTTCCCTGCGCCCAATTCCTTTTCTATAGACTTGTCTTGTATAGCAGTCAAAGGAAGCTTTTTCCCCTCGCCTGCTGCCAGCACATGTTTTGCCTACATTTCCGAAAGAACCAACCGGAAGGTCATCGCATCTCTGGTGATCCTAAGTTGCTTTCTGGAGCGGACCCCATAGAAGCACTTGGCAGGGATACCTGCGCCCCCCGGAAGGAACCGTTATCGGGCAAGTGTTCAGTCCGCAGTCCGGTGTTGAGTTTTCGTCGATCCCATTGGCGGCAGGCCTCAGCGGCGTGCTTTAAAACATGCCTTCACGGCGCTGAGAGTCGCAGGAAGAGTATGACGCAAACGGCAACCCATTTTTCGTGCAGGGGGAGCCCGAGGAGCAGCTTCAGAAGACCTTCATGGACATGTCCCGATCCAGACGCCCGGGCTGCTCTGGGTTTGGGGATGAAGAACCGTGGGTCTCCAGGGCTGTGAGCCTCTGAAGGGTTTCGGTGGTTTAGAATCTAGAGTTGAGTGTTCGCGCGCTTCGTTTCGGGCTTATGGTTTAATCCGAGGTTGAGGCTTAGCGGCCCGAACCGTGAACGTTCTTATCGCGCCCTTACATCCCCCAACCACCCCTAAACCCTAACCCTAAACTGTTTGCACCCGGAGTGTCGGCTCCGTCTGCTTGGAGCCTCCGAAGTTGGGAGCCGGAAGCCCGACATCCCAGGAGAGGTCTTCAAGCACTTCGCGGACGGCGGCGAGTTGAACCGCATCTGGGATGCCATTTCCAATAACCCCTTGAACCGAAGGTTCATACCAGGCTAGTTTCGTGATCAAGTATTTTTGTGCTTTTGTGAGCGGATTTACCGGACAAACAGGGGTTTTGCAAACTTCATTATCTCATTCTGATGCCCTATCGCTTGGTCAACGAATCTTAAATTGTTGATTCTGGATATTGGCCTCTGTGGCTCCTGTATACTGGAGCCTTCCGCAAAGGTGGCGTAGCCCAAATCCTCAAACCCCTGAGTCCCAAACCCCGCACTTTCAACACTTTAAAACACCCGAATCCCAATATTCAGCGTTCTCAACCCGAAGCCCAAACAAGGATCCTTTGTCCTACGCTGAGAGAAATCTCCTAAGCCCCAGGCGATGCGCTGAAGGAAGCCCTGCAAATGCTGGGCCTCGCGGCTGCAGAAATGAAAATGGATTTATGCGGGGTTACTGGTCTATGTTTTTTTGAGGGGGGGGTGGCAAGGGGGGCAAGGCTGTCATTTGTCGTCATTAAACGTCCTGCCGTTTTCTGCTGGTATTGTCAGTGAAGGTTTATGGTGGTCATTATAATCATTATAGTTGTCATCCATGGACTTCCCCGCAGTTCTATTGGCAGTGTTACCGCCATCGGCAATGAAAGTCCGACCCCCTAAAGCCCCACGCGCGCCTTCAAGCTAAAACCCTGAACCTCAAGCTCAGAAGGCACACCCTAAACCCTGAGGCTATGTCCTCCCCCCCACCCACCCAAGCCTAAGAGCCGGGCCCTGTCGAGCCACGTCATCAGGCCACGACTCCGTGAACGAGGAGTGGGTGCACCTGGACTGCAAGGAACTGTTCGGGTGCGGAAGTGCGTGGATTCCCGCATTATGCATGGGCAACGTAGTGTGGCACTTCGTCAGTCGATGTTCATGTAATTCCTGAAATTGACAGTGTGTTATAGTAGTCTGAAGCCCTGTATTTCTCACAGATCGTAGGAAGCTCAGGGATTGCATTTCAGTTTCTCTCGGGTGCACTGAATCTGGAGGGCTTCTCGTTATCACAGGTTTTCTGTGTATGAAACCTTTTTTCCTGTTAGAAGCCGAGACTGTTCGTTACCGTTTGTACTTCTTCGCTGCTCGGTCTTGGTGGTGCAACCCGCGTGGCCACAGCGAGCTGCTCACTTTCATGCCCAAGTCTTCGGCAGTTGAAATGAACGCAGAGTTGGCCGGCAGCTCATCCTACTTCGTGCTGACAGCAAATGCTATGCAAATGCTGCAGCCAAAGTGTCGCATTTTGTTACATGGGCTTGTGCTTGCATTGGGGTGGGGGGCACTCTGCCCGGTGCCGGTCGGGCTTCTGAAGGCCTCTGTGCATCCCGACCAGGAAGCTGCAGCCCGGGCCGAGGCTGCAAAGTATCGGGGTGTGTGTTACCGGAAGCGAAATCGCAACCATCCGTTCGAGGCGGGACTGCATGTTCGTGGCGGGCCAGGCTACATCGGCAGCTTTAAGACCGCTACGCACGCCGCCGAAGCACGGGATCAAGAGGTGAGGCGCTTGTACCCAGCTGACACTCCAGACCACAAATTCCACCGCAAGACGAAACTGAACTTTCCCTATGAGCAGGAAGCTGCGTACCATGAATTACAGGAGGGGGCACGGAAGCGTGCGATGAAAACATGGGGTTCCAACAATCGCAAGGAGGCCAGATCCTTCGAGCTGTTGAACGAGGCCTCGGAGGCATCACCTTATGCAGAGAATTACGAGCTCGTGCGCCTGACGGGGTCTTCCAAAGCAGATGCTCTGTTGAAGCTGCGTGGCTCGTCACGAGCTGGTTTACCGATTCAGATCAAGGCAGCAACAAGTCGATGGAAGCAAGGAAGGGTTTACCAATTTAGGAACTTGCTGGGATACCACGGCATGCTGGTGGTTCTTGTCGCATTGGATGGGGGCCACTTCTGGGCGGCCGCGGGCGAGGAATTCAAGGTTGATCATTTATGGATAACCATCGGGTGTGACAGCGACATTGATCGGAGGGTCGAAAACATAGTGTCGCACTTGGTTGCCTGCTTCAAAGCTACGCAACAGTTTCCCCACCTGTCAGCTGAAGAGGCAGAGTGCCAGTGCTCCCGCAATAATAGGGTTGAGGCGGCTGCGCATCGGCAGCTCAGAATTTTGTTTAGTTGCATGGATTGGGGCCTGTCCCGTCCTGATGAGCATGGGACCACGGTCGACTCCCTTCTGGAGGTTGGCATCGGTGGCCCGGTGGTGCGCTTGCAAGAGAAGGCGTCGTGCCTCTGTAAGGCAACTGGCAGGTATCAAGCGTCAATGCGGAAATGCGGAGGGTCGGGCCTGAAGGCTGCATACGCGGAGGACGATTTTGACTTGTTGGCCGCCTGTGTTTTGGATCAGGACGAGTTTCTGCAGGGCGTCTTCCTGATTCCCATGTCCGAATTGGTGCAGGAAGGCATGGTGGACAACGGGCCCCGCAAGCTCTATTTGTACCCACCATGGTCTCCACCAAAGCGAAACAGCACCAAAGAGAAATACGCTTGGCAGCTCGACTTCTTCCTCGACCTCCGCACTTGGCATGGCTCCACGGAGCTGCCTGATGAGCTCAAGATGAGCATGCATGAGCTAATCTCAGAGGCGCTCGACGACATGGCTGCGACAATGAATGTCGAAGCATTGTCCTTGTCGTCGCAACATTCTCCTGGTAGCCGCGGACTTGATAAAACAACTTCGACTCTTCTTCCCAGACTTAGTCGCCGAAGGAAGCCCCAACCGTCATCGTGTGTGACAAAGTACCATGACATCCTTTCTGAATGCGCTATCTCACGATGTCTAGCCCAAACTTCTCACCTCTTGCGTCGAGCGTGTTTATAAAACCGTGCTTTCAACAAGTCTGCTTGAATTCCAGTTCTATATAGTTCTAATGTAGTATCGCCGACAGGCCCTTTCCAGCCAATCTGTAACTCCTAGTTGCATGCTGCCCGTCCGAAACCCAGGGACGCCATCATTAAGGACAAGTTCTCTGACCGCTCCTTTCTGGATCAGCAGCTCGACAAGTGACTACCATGTGCATTTGCTTTCTAGGAACCCTCGGCCCTCAAGTATCCTAAGCCCCGAGCCGCCCTAGCCCTTTGAGCCACAACCCCTAAGTAAATCCATAGAGCCTGCAAGCCTAACCCTCCGCACGAAGCCGCCGAACCCTAACCCCTGAACCTTAAATGCCGAGCCCGGGCCCTGAACACCTGACCTTGAAGTCCTGCCGAACAGCCTGGATAGCATGGGCCTGCTGCTGTTGAAATGAGAGCCGCAAATCAAAGCATCTAAAGCCCGAAACCCGCGTCCCGCTGATGCTTCAAACCCTTCCTTAACCCTACACCCAGACAAAGGTTTCGACATTCGCCTGTAGCCTCCAGCTGTAGAATCTTCAGATTTTCAGGTATGACTTCAGCAAGTTCTTGGCGGAGTATGAAGCGTGCCACATGGACTACGTGAGAATGCGCTTCACAGAGGTGTCGAGGGTTTGGAGTTTTGAAAGCGTGAGCTGGGCGTTGGTGCTCTGGGACTCTGTTTCGTGGACGGTCCTTGTTTCTTGTATCAGGCCGCTTTGGAGAGGCTTTCAGTTGGGGTGGTGGTCCAGGTTTTGCAGCCGATGTTCGGAGTTTTTGCTACGTTGCATTGCCTGCGTTGAGTATCCGAGCTGTTGTGTGGAAGCTTCACATTAAGTGGCGGGAGTCTCACGGCTCTGACTTCTAACTGCTACGGGGCATCTTGTGGTTGCATTTTGATTTTTTATGTACATGCGCAAGGTTTTTGCGGGTTTTAGCCCGGAAGCTCTTTTAGACCCCAGACTCAGGCTTTTGTGAGTCGAAGCTCGGATTGGAAGCTTTACGATGCCTTGGATCTTCTGAGCATTGCGAGCGGTCATCTTCAGGGTTCCCAAACATGTTTAGTTTGCAGAGCTGCCTGGGCCTAAGACTTACGCAGTCTGTGTTTCGTTCCCTAGCCCCCTTATATGAAACCCTAAACCCTAAACCCTAGGCTAGAGACTCTAGCCCCGTATATGAAGCGCATTTTATTGGAGCCGATCCCTATAAGCCCTGAAGCCCTCGCCTCGCTTCGCCAGGCCGATGTCGACGGCTCCGGCAAGGTCGACGCAGGGGAACTTGCGCAGGCTGGCGTAAGGCTTCGGGTTTCGGGTCTAGGAGACTCGGGCTTTAGGATTTTATAAGTCTTAAGGCTTAAATCAGGGTTCAGGGTTGGTTTCGGGGGTCGGGCTTTTAGCATTTATAGGGGGCTAGGTTCAGTCGACGCTTCCGGGCTGAGTGCCGCAATATCCTGGACCTCCAACCGACCAGAACCCTGCTTGCATCATAAGGTGACGTCCGCACGAACGTAGAGATTGCAATTCACCCCCGATGCCAGGGCAAGGAAAACATGCAACCCTCCACCAAAATCCCATAACCGCTTTTAAACCACGGATTTGAAACCCAAACCCTTAACCCTCAACGGCCTTTTTGACAAAGCCGGAAGTCTGCAACCTGCGGAGGTGCTGCGGAAAGCTGGCATGACCCCAGTGACAGGACGTTTATTGGGGTTTGGCTTTTTCAGTTTTGAGGGGCCGGGGCCTCATCGGATGTGATCAGGTTGTATAAGGGGTTATCGGTTTAGGGCCTTTGGGGCTTTTGTGTTTCAGGCGTTATCCGAAAACCTTCGGTTCTCGTAACCGGTCCTCCTCCGAGTATGTACATGCTCGCAGAGCTGATGAGCAGGAACGATACGTTGATGCCAAAGTAGAAAACAGAGGTTGCTCCAAACCCTTGTCGAACTGGAATGCAAGTTTCAGAAGCAGCCCTAAACCCTAAACCCTCACCACTCGATTCGAGCCAACATTGACAGGAGTGGTGCCCCAGCTCATTGCAGAGGTTTGTGGGCCTCGTGTGACCGAGGCGAGATCTGCTCGAATGCTTGCAGTTGAGGACCTGTCGTAGCAGGACAAAAGCATACTTTCGACTCGCAATCTTGTTAGTTCCTACTGTCAATATCTGTCAATGGCGATGATGAAGACGATGATGATGACGGGTGGTGATGACCCTCTGTTTTCTTCGCCTAGTCCTCGCCCTCAATCTCACCCACACCCTTACTCCTGAGGCTCCTCGTCTCGTCTTCCTCCTCATCAACATTTTTCTAGTGCTGGTACTGCTTGTTGGAATTGCCGTTCTTGTCCTGCTGGATCTCCTCATCTCCCTTGGCTCTACGGTTGCTACTACGACACGGGGCTGCATGAACGACGACCTAAACCCTTCCGACCTCGGGCCGGTGCATGTTTGCAAGTAGAAATCCCAAAACCGCCGCCCCGAGCCCTGACGACCAGCCCACCCACCATCCTCAAGTCCAGCAGGTGAACTTCATGAGCTTCGCAAAGATCCTGGGCACCCGGATCTGCATCACAGTGTACCCCAAAACCGTGTGTTGATGGATTTTGGACTTCGGGTGTCTCAGGGGCCAGGCTCTCTTGTGTAAATAGTGTTGGAGCTGGGGTCTGAGAGACACATCTCTCTGAACGTGCAGACTTCCTTCCCTGCTGCGGAAGTCTGGAGATCCGAAATGACCTCTAGCTTTGGTGAGTTTCTTCTGCTCTTCCTGAATCAGCATACTCAGCTCATTGCGTCTCAATCCCATCTGCTTCGACCAGGTTTTATGGTCCGGGCCCTCCAGGCTTTGCATGTTTTGGCTTTCGGTAGGGGTTCGCGATGGTACTGATCGAGTGGGTTGCCCTCAAACGCCTCAAATTCTCTGAGCTTTACATCATTTACATACTGAGCACCTCAGCCCCAAGCATCTTAAGCCCTGTAAAACCGCATCTGGAGTCGTGTATTGCAGAACCACGAGCATGACAGAACCCGGTCTGGAGCGCGAAACAAGAGCTGCACAAACAGTTTAGGGTTTAGGATTTAGGGCGTTTCGGGTTCAGTGTTTAGGTTTTCCTTCCGCCTTCCTTTCCTGACACCGTAGGCAATGCCCCACAAACCCCAAACCCACTCAAATCCCTGAGCCATGAACCCTAGATCCAACATGAAGCCGTATTGCACCAAAACAGCACTCTAGACGCATATGAAAGCCGCGAGCCGTGGATCTCAGGCATCCTCCGCTATCGGCTGGGATTTACACAGGATTTGCTGGGTTTCGGTTCGTTACAAAGGCTGGAATTGTGAGTAGACATACTATCCCCCGAAAGTCTCTACAGAACTGCGAGAATATACCCCAAGACCCTAATCGAATGATTGAAACCCGTGCACTGACTATTGAAACCCGTGCACTGAATGGGTACTCGTAGCCTTAGGCCCGAACTCCTCAACCCTGAAGCTTCGAGTTCAGAGTTTTGGAGTCTGCAAGAGCTTTTGGTTTAGGGTTTTCGGTTTTGGGGCGTAGGCTTTTGGGCTTGATGTGCAGGGGCTTGGGGTTTTGCCGGGGAAGCCAGCTCTCACACGAAAATCCGGGAAGCTTTTCCAAATTAAGGTTCCTAAGGATCCCATCATGTCGGCTCTAGGGCAAACCAGTGGCTCTGCATGTTTTTGTTGAGAGCACCCACTCCTCTTCTTGCGCGAAAGCGCTCAAGACGCAGAGCCAGCTGAGGGCAATGCGGGAAGCCATAGGTTGGGGATCCACAAGCATTTCGATTCCCCAGCATTTAGGTTTCTGGAGTTTTGGGGGATCTTTGGGGCTTCGGGTGGAATACGAAAGAGGGCCAGACAGTGATAACAAAAAGTACCATGATTTCTTTTTTGTTGGCCGAACAGCTAATACCTAAACAACCAGCATTTGCAGGCATGTCCCTCCGGGGAGCTGGGCTCTAAATTCAGAACCTCAGGAGGAGTATTCAGACATCGCGACGTCCTTCAAGCGCCTCGACCGCCCGCTACCAAGTTCCAGAAGTTTGGGGTTGAGGTCTCAAAAATCGAGCATATTGGGGCTGGAGGGGCGTCGGGTTCGGGCTTGCAGCAAATGCAAGCACATAGAGACGGTGAACAACAAAACCTGACAAATCATCTCAGCAACAGACCCCAACAGCGA